TTTTTGCTCTTGACTTTGATGCTATTATCTCTGCTATGTATGCATTGGAAGTTAGTGCTGATGGTGACTGTTACCTGTGTATGCCGCCTGACCCAGGTATAGAGGCTGCTGCCTTAGGTGCTAGTGAGTCTGCTCTCTCAGGTACTGCGCCTGCTGAGGCCTTGCACACCTTCACGCTTGACTCAGGTGCTTCTCGCTGTTTCTTCCGTGACAGTACAGCACTCACACCGCTCCCTGCGCCTGACGCTGTCTCTCTGGCTGATCCCTCAAGGGGCCCAGTTCTTGCACGGTCCACCACTGTGCTTCCGTGTTTGGCAATCCCGTCTGGCTCACTGTCAGGTCTCCACCTCCCCTCGTTCTCGACGAACTTGGTGAGCAACGCTGCCCTTCAGGATGTGGGGGTTAATACCTTCACCCCTGCATGGCAGCGTGTGGCGATCTGCACGTGCGCACAGACTGGCCGTCACCTGGCCACGTTCACTCGTCGGCCAGGGTCGAGTCTTTACACACTGACGACTGTGTCTCCTCAGGTCGCTGCTGTCGGTCAGGTGTCTGCGTCAGGTCTGGTAGCCTCCCCTTGTGAGTGTCGCTCCCTGTCGCACCAGACTCTTCTCTGGCACCACCGTCTGGGTCACCCCTCCTTGCCACGTCTACGTGGCATGCACCGTCGCCTCCTTGTGTCTGGTCTTCCCAGGTCTCTCCCTCCCCTCCCTGCCTCGCCTGCGCCGCCCTGCCTTCCTTGCGTCGAGGGGCGGCAGCGCGCCGCTCCTCACTCCTCCTCGTTTCCCCCGACAGAGGCTCCCCTGCAGACCCTCCACCTGGACGTGTGGGGCCCAGCCCGCGTTCGTGGACAGGGCGGTGAGCGGTACTTTCTGCTGGTTGTCGACGACTACTCGCGTTACACCACGGTCTTCCCCTTGCGCACCAAGGGTGAGGTCCCTGCTGTCCTGATCCCTTGGATCCGAGCAGTTCGTCTCCAGCTCCGCCTGAGGTTCCGTACGGACCTTCCTGTCCTGCGTCTGCACTTTGACAGAGGTGGTGAGTTCACCTCCGACCTCTTGCGGGCCTTCTGTCAGGGGGAGGGCATCGAGCAGTCGTTCACGCTTCCGGGCTCACCGCAGCAAAATGGGGTTGCTGAGCGCCGCATTGGCTTGGTCATGGAGATCGCTCGTACCTCCTTGATCCATGCGGCGGCTCCCCATTTTCTGTGGCCGTTTGCGGTCCGGTACGCCACGCATCAGCTCAACCTCTGGCCCCATGTCTCCTTGCCAGACACCTCGCCCACACTGCGTTGGACGGGAGAGGTTGGCGATGCGTCGCGTTTCCGAGTCTGGGGTGCTCGTGCCCTTGTCCGCGATACGTCCGCGGACAAGCTCTCCTCCCGCACCATTCCCTGTGTCTTCCTTGGCTTTGTCCCTGACGCGCCTGGTTGGCAGTTTTACCACCCCACCTCGCGCCGTGTCTTCCCCTCCCAGGACGTCACCTTTGACGAGTCGGTTCCTTTCTACCGTCTCTTCCCCTACCGCACTGCCCCTCTCCTTCCCCCACCGCTTTTCCTCGCTCCAGGTCCCCCTCCGGTAGACCCCCTCCCCCCTCAGGGTCCTGCTCCTTCAAGTGTGTCTCAGGTAGACCCACTCCCCTTGGCTGAGCCTTTCGAGGTCACTTCCGACACCTCTGGCCCACCTGAGGGGGGTGACGTTGCTGCTGACGCCGCGGTGCCCCCCCGCCGCTCACCACGCTTGGCGACCCCTCCGGGTTTTCCACCTCGACCGTCTTCGCCGCCTCTGCAGCCGGTTCCTGTTGACTCTGGTGCTGCTGGGGGTGGTGTTGCTAGGGGTACTGCGTCTGGGGGTGCTGAGCCTGTGCGTGAGGTACTGGGGGGTGCGGAGCCTGGGGGTGCTGAGCCTGCGAGTGCGGAGCCTGGGGGTGCTGAGCCAGAGGGTACTGGGTCCGGGGGTGCTGAGTCTGCTGGCGTTCCTCCAGGTCTCCCTCTTTCTGCTGCTGGAGCTAGTGGTCGTGGAGGCGCTGGGAGTGCTGGTGTTTCTGGTTCTAGACGTGCTCGTACCGGGCGTACTGGAGCTGCTAGGATTGGTGGTACTGCTGGAGCTGGAGGTGCTAGTTCTGGGGGTGCTGAGTCTCCTAGCGGTCTACCTGGTGCCGCGTCGCAGCGGCCACCTCTCTCGCGACAGCAGCTACGCGAGTGGCTTGCTTCACGCACCCGCCGTCGGAGTCGCGCTGCTGGAGGTACTGGGACTAGAGACCCTGGTGCTGCGGTGCATGTTCTGGAGGTGCTGCTGCTGGAGGTACTGTTGCTGGAGCCCCTGGAGCTGGAGGTGTCGGTTCTGGGGGTACTGCTGCTGGAGGGACTGGAGCTGGAGACCCTGGAGCTGGAGGTGCCGGTTCTGGGGGTGCTGCTGCTGGAGGTACTGAGGCTGGAGACCCTGGAGCTGGAGGTGCCGGTTCTGGGGGTGCTGCTGCTGGAGGTACCGAAGCTGGAGACCCTGGAGCTGGAGGTGCCGGTTCTGGGGGTGCTGCGCCTGGAGGTACTGAGGCGGGAGGCCCTGGAGCTGGAGGTTCTGGAGCTGCTGGAGGCGCTGGAGCTGGCGGTTCTGGAGCTGCTGGAGGCGCTGGAGCTGGCGGTTCTGGAGCTGCTGGAGGCGCTGGAGCTGGAGGCTCTGGAGCTGCTGGAGGAGCTGGAGCTGGAGGTTCTGGAGGCGCTGGAGCTACTGGTGCTGGTGGCACTGCACAGCCGCGACTGTTTTTCGCTCCGCCGTCACCGTCGTCTCTGCCACCGCCTGACTCCGTGCTTCGCCAGGTTCTTAGCCTCCCGTCTTCTACTGGCCTCCCGTTACAGCCAGGCTCCCCACTACTCGCTCCTTCTCCTTACACTGAGCAGACTGACTCGCTTACAGAGCGTCGTGAGCCTGCGTCTCGTCCTGCCTCGCCTGTTCGCGCGTGTCGCACTGGTCGTCGTGTTCCTCGTGAGCGTCCGCCTCCTGTCCCTGGCACGCACGCTATGGCACTTCGTCCTTCCTCTGTTCCACAGCGTGTTCCCCTGCCGTCTCCTCCTGCGTCTTCTCTGCCTGACGTTCCGGACCCTGAGTCTGACCTGGTTCGTGCTGCTCACCCTAGTGTCACGCGTCTGCTCGCCACTCTTGTCACTGACCCGTCGTTTGAGTCTGGTGCTGCGTCTGCCCTAGTCTCTGAGCTTGTTGACTTTGCTGCTGCCTGACGTCTAGACTACGCTGTTAGTCTTGTTGCTGAGTCTGAGTCTGTCTGTCCTCCGTCCGTCGGGGGTGAGTGTGCTCTTGGTACGGACGTCCTTGAGGACAGGCAGGAGGACTTTGAGTGTCTTGCGGCTGCTGTACCTCATCTCGTGGCCTCGCTGCTTGCACCTGAGGGAGACCCGGATGCACCAGACATCCCGACCCCGCGCTCTTACGCAAAGGCGCGGGTCCCTACTCTTCTCAGTGGCAGACAGCCATGGACGCAGAGATGGCATCATGGAAGTCCAATGGCACCTACGTCGACGCAGTTCCCCCTCCTGGGGCGAACATCGTCGATGGTATGTGGATTTTCAGGGTGAAGCGGCCGCCGGGTTCTCCGCCTGTCTTCAAGGCTCGTTACGTTGCTCGAGGCTTCAGTCAGTGACAGGGAGTTGACTTCTTCCAGACCTTCTCCCCTACCCCGAAGATGATCACTCTTCGGGTGCTGCTGCACGTTGCCGCTCAGCGTGACTACGAGCTTCACTCTCTTGACTTCAGCACTGCTTTCTTACAGGGCAGTCTGCACGAGGAGATCTGGCTGCGCCGCCCTCCTAGCTTCACTGGGTCGTTCCCTCCTGGTACCCAGTGGAGCCTCCAGCGGCCAGTCTACGGTCTCCGCCAGGCGCCTCGTGAGTGGCACGACACACTGAGGATGACACTTGCGGCTCTTGGGTTTGCTCCTTCGACAGCTGACCCGTCGCTGTTTCTGCGCACCGACACTTCGCTGCCGCCGTTCTACATCCTCGTGTACGTCGACGACTTGGTCTTTGCCACTGCTGACACTGAGGCACTGGCCCTTGTGAAGTCGGAGCTGCAGAAGAGACACACGTGCACAGACCTGGGTGAGCTGCGCAGCTACCTTGGCTTGCAGATCACCCGGGACAGAGCACGGCGCACCATCATGTCAAACATTGCATGTTTAAGTTGTGTAGGCTGTAGTGGGTTTGACCTTAGGGGGTACACAAACTTAGGGTTTCCTACTTGTACCCAACTTTCTGCTAGTTCATGCATTCCTGCTTCATCCATTCTGACATGGTTTCAGAGCAGGTCCTTCTCTAGGACCTAGTTTTTATGGCCCACCACTACTGACTGCCTACTAGCACCTTCGTGCGCCCTACTGTCGTAGCGCTCCCTAGCGCCTCCCCCCCCCAGCGCCCTCGTGCGCCTCTCTTTAACGGCCCCTTAAGGCCCCGTCGACCCCGCGCGCCGCCCCTTAGCGACCCGCGTGCCGCCCCTTAGAGGCCCCGTCAACCCCGCGCGCCGCCCCTTAGAGGCCCCGTTGGCCCCGTCGACCCCGCGCGCACCTCACCCAGAGGCCCCACTAGCCCCGTCGACCCCGCGCGCGCCCCGCTTAGAGGCCCCGCTGGCCCCGTCGACCCCGCGCGCGCCCCGCTTAGAGGCCCCGCTGGCCCCGTCGACCCCGCGCGCCTCCCTTAGCGGCCCCCTCGGCCCCGTCGACCCCGCGCGCACCCACGCCTTAGCGGCCCCGTCGACCCCACCCGCTGCCCCTTACCGCCCCGCACGCGACAGCCACGGCCCCGCCAGAACCAGGCCGCCCGAACCGAGCCACGCAGCCCGAACCGAGCCGCGCCGCCCTACCCGAGCCGCGCCGCCCTACCTGAACCGAGCCGCGCCGCCCATCCTGAGCAGCCTCTCTGGACCGAGCCGCCCTACCTGAGTCGCGCTGCCTACTGCTGTTAGGGTGCACCTACTACTACTGCTCCTACTGCTACTATGGCTAGCCCTCCTGTGCTAGCTTTCGATGCTGAGGGCCGCCCAGTGAAGTTTGACACCTGGCTAGATGACCTGCACCTCTTCCTACAGCTCACTGCCAAGGAGGACATCTCACTGTACGATCACGCCCTAGGCCATGCTACTGCCCCTGCTGCTACTGCTGACAGCGCTGCCCGCTCACAGTGGCAGACTCGTGACGCCCACGCTCGCTTTGCTATTCGCAACTCCCTGCCGATAGATGAGCGCGAGCACTTTGGCCAGCACAAGACTGCTAAGGAACTGTACACTGCTGTCGTTGCCCGCTACTCCTCACCTGCCTCTGCCGCACTAGGCCGTCTCTCACTCCCCTACCTGTTCCCCGACCTGGCCTCTTTTCACACAGTTGCTGACCTCATCACGCACCTCCGTACTAGTGAGGCCCGCTTCCGTGCCGCTATGCCCGATGAGTTCCTTGCTAAGAACCCCCCCCGCTCTGGCTCACTCTCTACCACCTAGTCACCCGCCTCCCTGACTCTCTGCGTGCAGTCAGGGATCACTTCCTAGCTCGCTGCCCCACTGAGCTCACCATTGCCCTCCTCGAGAAGGAACTACTTGCAGCTGAGGCTAGCATAGTCGCTGTAGGTGCCTCTCGTGGCGACCCCCGCACCCCTTTCTTTGAGGGGTGTTCCCCTTCCCCCCTTCTTCCCTCTGTAGCCTCTGCTTCTGCTGTCGACCTCCTTGGTGCTGAGAAGGTCGGGACTGCGTCTGCTTCGAGCGGGCGCCGCAGGGGCAAAGGGGGCAAGGGAGGCGGAGGTGACGGCGGGGGAGGCGGTGGTGGAGGCGGTGGCGGCGGTGGGGGTGGTGGTGGGGCTGGAGGGACTAGTGGCAGCGGTGGGGGTGGTGGCGGCAGCGGCGGGGGAGGTGGCAGGGGCGGGGGCGGTGGTGGGGGCGGCGGTGGTCGCGCCGGCGGCAGGGGAGGGGGTGGTCGAGGAGGTGGCGGCGGCGGTGGTGGTCGTGGAGGCGCTGGCGGTGGCCAGAGCCAGCAGCACACTCCGTCGCCCCAGGAGGTCCGTGAGTGGTACTCTCAGCACGGGGGGGGGGGGGGGGGGGGGGGGGGGGGGGGGGTGGGCTTAGCTGCACGTACGTCATCCGCACTGGTGACCGCACTGGTCAGATGTGTGGGAGGGCGCACACCACGCAGCGCTGCTTCTCTCGCCTTGACGACGCTTGGCGTACTCAGTTCCCTGATGCCACTGAGCTGCCCCGCTGGTTTGATCTGATGAAGAAGGGAGTTGATATCTATGCTCTAGACTTTGATGCTATTCTCACTGCCATGTATGTGATGTCTACTAGTGGAGAGGGTGCTCAGTACCTGTGTGTTCCGCCCGACCCGGGCATTCGGACCAGTGAGGCTGCCGCTCTAGGTGCTAGTGAGACTGCCACTCCAGGTACTCGCGTGTCTACTACCCCAGGTGCTGGTGAGGCTGCTGCTCTAGGTGCTCGTGAGTCTGTGCCCCCTGGTACTGAGTCGACTGAGGCACTGCACACCTTCACACTGGACTCAGGTGCTTCTCGCTGTTTCTTTCGTGACTGCACTGTCCTTGAGCCGCTGGCTCGGCCAGTTGCTGTCTCCCTCGCTGACCCCTCTGGGGGTCCGGTCATTGCGACCTCCTCCACTGTCCTTCCCTGTCCTGCGGTCCCGTCAGGCACACTGTCAGGTCTCCACCTCCCCTCGTTCTCTACGAACTTGGTGGCGGGTTGTGCGCTCCAGGACGGGGGTGTTCACCAGTTCACCCCTGCCTACGAACGCGTGACACACTGCACGTGTGCTCGGACGGGCCCGACACCTGGCTACCTTCACTCGGCAGCCGGGGTCGGACCTGTACACACTGACCACTGAGTCCCCTCAGGTAGCTGCGTCTGCGTCTGCGTCTGCGTCAGGTCAGCTGTCGGCCCCCTGCTCGTGTCGCTCTCTGGCGCACGAGACCGTCCTCTGGCACCACCGACTTGGTCACCCGTCCGTGCAGCGCCTTCGTGCAATGCATAAGCGGTACCTTGTCTCTGGTCTTCCCAGAGTTCTCCCTCCCCTCCCACCCTCGCCTGCTCCTCCCTGTCTTCCCTGTGTCGAGGGGCGGCAGCGCGCCGCTCCTCACTCCTCCTCGTTTCCCCCGACGACTGCTCCCTTGCAGACGCTCCACATGGACGTGTGGGGCCCAGCCCGCGTCCGTGGACAGGGTCAGGAGAGGTACTTCCTGATAGTTGTTGACGACTACTCGCGCTACACCACGGTCTTCCCCTTGCGCACCAAGGGTGAAGTCCCTGATGTCTTGATCCCTTGGATCCGCGCTTCTCGTCTCCAGCTCCGTGAGCGTTTCCACTCGGACTTTCCTGTCCTGCGTTTGCACTCTGACAGAGGTGGTGAGTTCTCCTCCGACCTCTTGGCAGCCTACTGTGCGGAGCACGGCATTGAGCAGTCGTTCACGCTTCCGGCCTCTCCACAGCAGAATGGGGTTGCTGAGCGCCGCATTGGCTTAGTCATGGAGGTCGCTCGTACCTCCTTGATCCATGCGGCTGCCCCCCACTTTCTGTGGCCGTTTGCGGTCCGATACGCTGCGCATCAGCTCAACCTCTGGCCCCGTGTCTCCTTGCCGGAGACTTCCCCGACACTGCGTTGGACGGGAGAGGTTGGCGATGCGTCGCGTTTTCGGGTCTGGGGATCTCGAGCTTTTGTTCGCGATACGTCCGCGGACAAGCTCTCCTCCCGCGCTGTTCCCTGTGTCTTCCTTGGCTTTGTCCCGGACGCGTCTGGTTGGCAGTTTTACCACGCCACCTCGCGCCGTGTCCTGCCCTCTCAGGACGTCACTTTTGACGAGTCCGTCCCCTACTACCGCCTCTTCCCCTACCGCACTGCCCCGCTCCCCCCCCCGCCTCTCTTCCTCGCTCCAGGTGCTGCTGTGCTAGACCCCCTCCCCCCTCAGGGTGCCGCTCCCTCAGGTGTGTCCCAGGTAGACCCGGTTGAGCCTGTCGAGGTAGCTGTCGACTCTCGTCCTGCTAGGGGTGCTGAGTCTGAGCGTGCGGAGCCTGGGGGTGCGGAGCCTGGGGGTGCTGAGCCTGGGGTTGCGGAGTCTGGGGGTGCTGAGCCTGGGGGTGCTGAGCCTGGGGTTGCGGAGTCTGGGGGTGCTGAGCCTGGGGGTGCGGAGTCTGGGGGTACTGAGTCTGGGGGTGCTGAGTCTGGAAGTGCTGAGCCTGAAAGTGCTCCACCTGGAGGAGCCCTCTCCTCACAGCAGCTGCAGGAGAGGTACTTACAGTATTGCGGCCTCAGGAGAGGTGCTTCTGGAGCCAGGAGTGCTGCTGGAGCTGGTACTAGTGCTTCCCCTCCTAGACGGGAGCTGCCCTCCCTTCAGCGGATCCGAGAGTGGTACACGCGGCGCTGCAGTCTTCGGAGTGGCGCTCCTGGTGTCTCGGACCCTGGAGCTGCAGGTGCTGCTGCTGCTGGCGCTACTGGGGGTGCTGTTGGTCCTGGGCCTGCTGCTGGTGCTGCGGACCCTGGAGTTGGAGCTGCTGCTGGTGCTGCGGACCCTGGAGTTGGAGCTGCTGCTGGTGCTGCGGACCCTGGAGTTGGAGCTGGGGCTGGTGCTGAGGACCCGGGAGTTGGAGCTGCTGCTGGTGCTGCGGACCTTAGAGTTGGAGCTGTGGCTGGTGCTGCGGACCCGGACGTTGGAGCTGCTGCTGGTGCTCCGGACCCGGGAGTTGGAGCTGCTGCTGGTGCTGAGGACCCTGGCGCCAGTGTCTCTGCTGGTTCTGGAGACGCTGCGCGGCCGCGACCGTACTTCGTAAGGCTCCTTCAGCAGGTTCTTGGTCAGACTCCTCCTCCTTGTCCTCCTCCCTCCTTAGAGTGTCCTCCGCCTGTCCAGTCGCAGTCACTGTTACCGCCTGCCTCGCCTCTCCCTGGTCCTTCTCCTTACACTGGTCCCACAGGAGGTCTTACGGAGCGTCGTGAGCCTGAGTCTCGTCCTGTGTCGCCTGCGTCTCGCTCTGCGTCGCCTGTTCGTGCTGCTCGCACTGGTCGTCGTGTCCCGCGTGAGCGTCCTCCTCCTGTCCCTGGCACTCACTACATGACTCTGCGTCCCTCCACTGCTCCTCAGCGTGTCCCTCTGCCGTCTCCTCCTGCGTCCTCTCTTCCTACTCTTTCTGACCTTGAGTCTGACTGTCCTACTGTCACGCGTCTCCTCGCCACTGTTGTCACTGACCCTACCTTTGAGTCCTCTGCTGCGTCTGCTCTGGTCGCTGAGTTAGTTGACTTTGCTGCCACGTGTCGTCTAGACTACGCCGCTAGCCTTGTTGCTGAGTCTGAGTCTGTCTGTCCTCTGTCCGTCGGGGGTGAGTGTGCTCTTAGCACGGACGTCCTTGAGGACAGGCAGGAGGAGTTCCAGTGCTTTGCTGCTGCTTTGCCCCATCTCGTGTCCATGCTAGTTGCCCCTGAGGGAGACCCGGATGCACCAGACATCCCGACTCCGCGCTCTTACGCAGAGGCGATGGAGGGTCCCTACTCCTCTCAGTGGCAGACAGCCATGGACGCAGAGATGGCTTCCTGGAAGTCCACAGACACCTACGTCGACGAGGTTCCCCCACCTGGGGCGAACATCGTCAGTGGCATGTGGATTTTCAGGGTGAAGCGGCCGCCGGGTTCTCCGCCTGTCTTCAAGGCGCGTTACGTTGCTCGAGGCTTCAGTCAGCGACAGGGAGTTGACTTCTTCCAGACCTTCTCCCCGACCCCGAAGATGACCACTCTTCGGGTGCTACTGCACATAGCCGCTCAGCGCGACTATGAGCTTCACTCACTTGACTTCAGCACTGCTTTCCTACAGGGCAGCCTGCACGAGGAGATCTGGCTGCGCCGCCCTCCTGGCTTCACTGGGTCGTTTCCTCCTGGTACCCAGTGGAGCCTCCGGCGGCCGGTCTACGGTCTCCGCCAGGCGCCACGTGAGTGGCACGACACACTGAGGACGACACTTGCGGCTCTTGGGTTCGCTCCTTCTACTGCTGACCCGTCGCTGTTTCTACGCACCGACACCTCGCTGCCGCCGTTCTACATCCTTGTGTACGTCGACGACTTGGTCTTTGCCACTGCTGACACTGCAGGACTCGCCCACGTGAAGTCGGAGCTGCAGAAGAGACACACGTGCACAGACCTGGGTGAACTGACAAGCTATCTTGGCTTGCGGATCACCCGGGACAGAGCACGGCGCACCATCACCTTGACTCAGTCACACATGGTGCAGCAGGTCCTTCAGCGCTTCCGCTTCACGTACTCCTCGCCTCAGCCCACTCCTCTGCCTACCGGTCACTCGCTCTCAGCTCTGCCTTCGGATGAGTCCGTAGAGCCGAGTGGCCCGTATCCAGAGCTTGTGGGCTGCCTCATGTACCTGATGACCTGCACTCGACCTGACCTTGCATACCCTCTTAGCATCCTTGCACGCTATGTCGCTCCTGGCCGTCACCGGAAGGAGCACATGGATGCCGCTAAGAGGGTGTTGCGTTACTTGTGCAGTACGTCGGGCATGGGGCTAGTGCTTGGAGGGCGAGACCGAGTTGTACTCACTGGGCACTCAGACGCTTCTTGGGCGGACGACCAGGCTACTCAGCGGTCGTCTCAGGGTTACACCTTCAGTCTTGGCTCTGGTTCAGTTTCTTGGCGTTCTACACGCTCTTCTTCTGTTCTCAGCTCCAGTTGTGAGGCTGAGATCTACGCCACAGCCATGGCAGCCCAGGAGCTACGTTGGCTCACCTACCTGCTGACCGACTTGGGAGAGCGGCCTCGTTCTCCTCCAGTGCTGTAAAAGGGGACCGACTCGTCGAAGGTGACGTCCTGAGACGCAAAGACACGGCGCGAGGCGGGGTCGTAGAACTGCCAGCCAGGCGCGTCAGGGGGAAAGCCAAGGAAGACACAGGGAATGGCGCGAGCAGAGAGCTTGTCCGCGGTGAGATCGCGGACAAAGGCACGAGCACCCCAGACCCGGAAACGCGACGCATCGCCAACCTCCCCCGTCCAACGTAGTGTGGGCGAGGTCTCCGGCACGGAGACACGGGGCCAGAGGTTGAGCTGATGCGCGGCGTACCGGACCACAAACGGCCACAGGAAATGGGGGGCAGCCGCATGGATCATGGAGGTACGAGCGACCTCCATGACTAAGCCAATGCGGCGCTCAGCAACCCCATTCTGCTGCGGAGAGGCCGGAAGCGTGAACAACTGGCGGATGACGTGCTCCTCACAGAAGGTTCGCAAGAGGTTAAAGGTGAACTCACCACCCCTGTCAGAGTGCAGACGCAAGACAGGAAAGTCCGACTCGAACCGCTCGCAGAGCTGGAGACGAACAGCGCGGATCCAAGGGATCAAAACAGCAGGGACGTCCCCCTTGCGCTGCAAGGGGAAGACCGTGGTGTAGCGTGTGTAGTCGTCGACGACCAGCAGGAAGTACCGCTCGCGGCCCTGCCCCTGGACGCGGGCTGGGCCCCACACGTCTAGGTGGAGAGTCTGCAGTGGAGCCTCTGTGGGAGGGAACGAGGAGGAGTGAGGAGCGGCGCGCTGCCACCCCTCGACGCAAGGAATGCAGGGCGGCGCAGGCGAGGGAGGGAGGGAGGGCAGAGACCTGGGAAGACCAGAGACCAAAAGGCAAGAGTGCATGCCACGAAGGCGAGGCAGGGAGGGGTGACCAAGGCGGTGGTGCCAAAGGAGAGTCTGGTGCGACAGGCGGCGACACTCACACTGGGTAGCTACCTGAGCGGACGCATACAACTGAGGAGACAAAGGGGTGTAGCGCGACGCAGTGGTGAGGGTGTACAGACTAGACCCAGGCGCACGTGTGAACGTAGCCAGGTGGCGGCCAGTCCGAGAGCACG